GATGCCATTTCCGGCATTTCAGGGCTTCTATTTTAACTAACTCCTCTTACAGATTTTTTCGGATTGACTTCAAATTCGATCACTGCAATCTAGACACGTTGGTGATCAAAAGTTAATCAAATATTTACTGTGCGTCAAACTGTGTGTCCGTGGCATGGCGCTGAATTTCCACCTTTCGCACTGAAGAGTCTCTCTATGAAAGCGTAAGTCTTTTGCACAGTGTCTGAAACGCGTGACAATGTAGAGCGGTCTCCCTCAGCTTCTGGCGATGAGGGCTTAAGAGTGGGGTGACGTGGCATGGTGCCGCTGCAGTGGCCGACCGCCGTGCAGGCCCCGACGTAGGTTGATAGTAAGGTCCCGCCCAATGCTGCTTGCAGCTTTAATTATTGAATATAATCTTAAATATCCATAAAATATAGTCAGGGGTTGTCAGTTGACAAAAGGGGGTCCCTTACGGAAAAACGCAATACAGCACATTTATACACACATACCATTTGCATAATATACTAACTACACATCACGGTTACAGAGGAGTCATTATTTTGATATACTAAGTAAAAATATTGAGAAAGTTTCTCATTGTAATGACTTACAATATACTTTTTTCCGTTACATTGACGGAAATGGGCTTCCATGTAACAATGAAAATGACTGTGCAGAAAGAAAAATATTCAGCCGCCAGGATTTGTATTGTGAAAGCAGTAAATTTGCACATCCTCTGAGGAAACATACAGCTACAGCAAAAGGACAGGTTCTGCGCCAGTCAACAGAAACTTTTCCAATAAGACCACTCGACAAGGACGCTATAACACAGTGAATGTAAAGTTTGAATGCTGAGGCATCATATCAACCTTTGTGTGAAGATGAATTTAATATACTGGCACAGGGCTTAATTGACACCGGTGTCCAGCTGGCCGTGTGGACACAGCAGCACAGTTGGTGGTTGATTCAGCCAAACGGTTGATTATTTTAATCAATGTTTCTACATGTTACACTTACAATTGTACTAGTAAAGATATGCCTTTGTGTGTAGTCCTGCCATAGCGTGCCTGTTTCGAGGCCAGGGCTCTGTATCTGCAACTGGAGGGGAGCAATGCGAAGACAGGGTTGAGAGGATGCCTAGAGTGCAAGGGTGTGTGCTCTTTGTGTAATTTTTTCTAGTTTTCTCCATCTGATGAAGCAAATTAGCATAGTTTTACTGTGGAAAATTCTCAACCAATAATGGATTTTTCCTTTTTACTTCAACTTAATTTTGGCTTTTTTAGTCATGAATATCAGGGCTGCTGCTGGCCATTTGGGTGCCCTAAGTTTAAACGTTTACATTTACATTCATGTAGGCACAAAGAAGTATTCCCTGTGCAAGTATTGAAAATACACAATACATAAACAGACAATGCGGGCTGCCCAAGGTTGACACCCAGAAACGTCCTTATTCAACTCAGAGCCAAAACTCAAAACAAAGTGCTAGAACAGGTAGACAGTGCTAAAAGTCAGTTTAAACAAGCATTAGGGCTCTTGTGATTGCTTGGTGGTGAAATCAGTGCATACCAGCTGAGGGTAGAAATGAAGCAACCAGACTTTATCATAACATACATCAAAGTATGCATGTCACCATGTGTTCATTAAGATCAAACTGATATATATACGTACAATAATCTGTAGAAAGGATGTTTTCTGCTCTCAGTATGGTGACATCCAGCATCCAGGAGGTGACACCTTTCTTCTGTTGAAAAAAGAAAGATGAAATCATGAGGCACAGCGCACAGATACAAAAGTGTGTAGAATTATTGATAAATGTATCTTCTAAAGGTGAGAATATTTTAAGGAGCTGATCACACAGTTGCATTGCTAGAAAGGCATTGCCTGCAAAACCATTGTTTTGCTGTGGTGCAGCCACCTTCATAGTGGGAAAAAAAGTGGCCGCTTGCTGAGGGATACAAATCAAGCAGGGGTTCTGGTGGTCCTCCCCTATGAGATTTTGAGTGTCATTCTGAGGATTTTTGTATGCATCAATATGTACTTTTTATGCATCAATTTCTTTCTCTCAAAGTCTTCTGCTACTCTCAACATGAAATGTAAAGGAAATAAAGAGCATAAGGCATACCTTAGGTTGTAAATGTGTCTCTGTTTGATCAGTCCCTGAGACAGCATCAGCTCTTAAATGTATTATATTCTGACTCTGAGCTGTATCACACCAACCCTGTCTCTTCAATGACACACACGGTTTCCTCTCTATCTGACAATGAGAATTTTCTTTGGCTTAAAGCATTAATTTCAATGGGAGAAGATTATAGTGTCCTTTGGAAGATAGCACCTCTGCATATTCACCAATGAACAACACAATAGCAGCATGATATCATCAATGTCAAATGTCAACTGTGTACATTTCTATTGAAAATAGATAGCTTGAATTCATTCCTAGTTGATAAAATGGTAAAGCTGAAAGTCATGATCAAGTAGATAAGTGATGAGTGACGTTACAATGAGTTGATGAAGTGTTTTATAAGTTAAGTGTGCGTCAGAATACATCTTCATCAGAGCCCTATGCATTGTAATGTATCTGTGGCTCAGACCTCTTTAGCCCAGGGCTTACAGCTCTGATAAGCTCAGTCATTTTTCACTTGCAAATTCAAATGTGGGTATGATGCAAAGCAGATAAAATCATTACAAATAACTAAACATTTTTCATAGGAAAATGAGACTGAGAACTGACTGCCTGTGTCAATAGTCTGAGCAGCATCGAAGACGGTGATGCCAGGAGGCTGAATAAGCTTATTAAGAAAGCTGGTTCTGTCACCCTGGAGACTGTAGAAGAGGTGGTCAATTGGAGGATGAGGTCCAAACTCCTGGCCATTATGGACAAACCCTCCGATCACATGACACTGTGTCAGAGCAGAGAAGCTCCTTTAGCAACAGACTATTACAACTGACCACTAAGGAGTGCTATAGGAGATCTTTTTTGCCTGCTGTAAGACTGTACAACTCCTCCTTCAGCTGGCTCGATCCGGGTGGTTAGACTCAAGCTAGGGGATGTTAAAAATCACACTGGACTGCTTTGCATTGTACAATGTGTTAGATGTAAATTTTGTATTTATTTCTTTTTTTCTTTCTTACATATGTTTAGCTATTGTTTTTAATTTTTTTGTTATATATTCAATTCAATTAAATTTT